ACTTATTCCTGCGTCTTTTGGGATCTTATAAAGCGTCAAACGAAGCGTCGACTACTAAATCAGTCGTCGACGATTTTAATAGTCGATGTAATCGTGACTTGTCGACTAATCGTGGCAGCCCTAATCTTCACCTTCATCTGAAGTATAACAGGATGTCCAGATACCAGCAAAATAAATGTGGACTTGAGGCCACTACACCCCGAGCGCGTTGCTACATGAAATTCAGAGTTTTTCAGATGCGAGCTTGTTGCGTAAGCGCCTTCACACACTGACAAAAGTCTGTATGAGGTTTCGTGGTTTGATCCAGGAGCTGAATCTGTATCACGGCCGCTTTCATATGTATTTCATGATGTCAGCGGGTCAGTTCGAGCTCTCGTTGGCAGAGTTGGGATCACGTCTGAGGAGGCAGAGAAATGATTTCAGAGAGCCGACTGACCGCAGCAGCATGGAGCTGTGTGTTAAACGGTACTATTTAACCATTTTCATTACGAGCGGTTCAAACTGCTGTGCAGATTCTCTACAAGTCCTGTTTCTCAGGTGTCTGAAGCGCAAACAACTCAAAAACATTCCAACACAAAACGTACAATAGAAAATGCTTTGACACTTTAGTCACCACTATACGCTTCACACGTTTTTTCCACTGTTGAAATTATCAGTCAGCTATCAAAAGTATATAAATGGGCTTAGGAAGAGAGCTTTCGTTGGACAACGTGACCCTCCGTGCACCCGCAATAAAAAGAAACACGTTATCAAAGAAAGACGAGAAGAGAGTGAGCCTTCGGGCTCGTGGTTTCCTCTGTAAATCTAACATCATTAAGGCATTATCTATCCAGTATTGCTAAAAGAACAGCTAGTTGGTGGACATGAAAGGAATATCTATGTATGACAGTAAAAGACTGACACTTCAGGACAGGAGTGCAAAATACTCAGAAAAATCAAAAACCTGTTAGTCCCTAGCGACCTATGAAGTACCGAGCATCCTTTAGAAGGTACTGTGTTGATGGCTAATTTGCTCTGTTAGCTACTAACATGCAAAGTGCACACTTGTTTAGGAAAAAACTATTAATTTCTTACTTACAATTTCCAAATGTTTGGTTTCGTCCGCTTAATCTCGACAGCAACTAGAAGGATATAAAAGTCTTGAGAAACTCTGGCGGTGTCTGGAACAAAACCCGGCGCTCGCCCGCAGACGATGGCGGCTTTCTGGACACGCAGGTGCTGTGTCATTTTTACATTTACATGTTAATACCTTAGAGCAAACACCAAGATATCTTTTTGGTGGGCATTTATATCCAGTGAAGGCTATTGTGGTAATGAGTCTGCACAAAAGTCAACAATGAAAAATACAAAGTCTGAGGTAATAACTAGCTTAATGTCGAAATGCCACGAACCACACATCAAAAATGATTGCATGTTTATCCATTACATAATAAGTGCCCGTCAGAGGCTTCACATATAGAAGATCTGGATGAAATTGAGTGGGGTGAACACAAAGGGAAGACACAATATCGAGGAAGACAGTTGAGGTTGCAGGAAGTGGCAGAAGTCCGCTTTTTTTTTTCTTGCTTTTTTTCCTCGCTGACTGACTGAATGGAAACTCTGGAGGGAATTCATGAACAGTCAGTGCTTGGGAGGTCAGAGAAGAGAGACTCGGACCTTCGGTTCATGAACTCTGCCTTCATCAGCAGCCCCATTGGTCTAGCTAACAAATTAGTGCAATTTAAGAAGAGACCACTGTATTCATGCTCTCTGAAAGCTGCCTACACACAAAAAAACCCCTATGAGAAGAACCTCTGATATCAAGCATTTCAAAACACGAAAAACTTCACCTTGACATTAAAGTCCATCCTGTTGTACATTCATAAAAGAGGGCTTAAGATAAAGACGACAGAGAAGGAGAAAGTCCTGGAAATTTGACCTCTTCAAGGCGGCACGTCATGCCTGATGTTTTCTTCGGAGCTGCTCGCGTGTTGTGGAGAAACATCAGCCATTCTTGTCTCCACCTTTCTCTCCGGTAGCCTGAAAACACAGAGAGCAGAGGGTTTCCAGCACATCTTCACTAGGGCTGCCACAAACGATTATTTTTTTGCTTCAATCGATTCTCTCAAACAAATACACTGTA